TGTGTGTGTGTGTGTGTGTGTGTGTGTGTGTGTGTGTGTGTGTGTGTGTGTGTGTGTGTGTGTGTGTTTTCTCTCACTCTATTTATAACCTCCTCCGAGGTGCCAGCTGGTGGTCTGGGCAGCTATCTTTTTTCCACCCGGCCCTCAGAGGTCAACACAAACGAAAACACACACTGTGGGACATGTTGCCCATGGCTTTTCATGCTGAAAACATAAAATAAATAAAAAAAATCAAGCATTTTAACAGCTCACTAAGTTGTTTTGAAATGTTTGTGAATTAAAAATTAAAAGATCCAACTATCTAAAGCAGCAGAAGAAGACATTTTGTACATTTAAGTCGTAAATTCTAAATATTAGCATTCTCTGTCACACATATCTGGCAATGACTAACTCACCCTGCATATATTCTACTGAGCAGCTGTAAGTTTGTTTAAATGGGTGAAAAAAGAAATCACAAATCAAATTTAAATAAATAGCTTTATTTTCGTTCTTTCTCAGCATCCCAAAGGAGACTTCGGCTAACTTAAGACACCTTCTGCTCGGGCTGCTGCAGAGAAACCATAAAGAGCGCATGAGCTTTGGTAAACCTCGCCGCCTTTCATTGTTTATAATTTTTCTCTACTTGTTTACGTTTAAATTACTTTTTTGTCTACGTTTGCAGACGAGTTCTTCAACCATCCCTTCATGGAGACRAGCTCATCTACAAAGAAATGTGCGTTAAGTGTCTTGCAAAGGTCAGCAAAGCCCACTGTATTGTGGGTAAAGGCCTTGGCTCCTAACACAGCAGGTGTGTGCTCTCTGACAGGTTCGCCCTCTCCGGTGCTCTCCTACTCCGGCTCGGGCTCAGGTAGCTCCTCCAGCAGCTCCTCCACGTCTCAGCTGGCCTCGCCTCAAGTATGGTGACCAAATGCCTCTCTCTGAAAGACACAGACGTACAATGGTCTAAAAAACTTTTGTTTTATTGTGTGTTTACTTAATAATTCGATTCAATCTATCAGCATTCCGATGGAGAGATGAACCAGTTTCTGCCCAAAGAGCTGTGCTCGCAAGCAAAGGACACCACCGGCATTCTGGGAAAAGAAATAGCCGCTGTAGACGATGGAAACTCGCCATCGTACACTGAGGACTATGTCATGGTGTCTGCCAAGTTCTACGGTAAGACAAGCATCAGGATTATTAAACTGTATGGATTTTCTTTGCATCGGTGCAAAAAGTTAGATTTATTTTGTCTTGTTGCCCTCTAGGTGAGTACACATGTGAAGCAGAAGTTGGATCGCCCTCTGACAGTTACCTGATGAACAGCRGGTGAGTTCCTGCTTTTGTCTTCATGTCAGAAAATGTGACTCRCTTTTTGAGAAGGAGCCACTAAAATATGTTTGTTTTTAGGAGCTCCCAGCTGACCAGGAGAGGTTCTGGAGCTGCTGGAAGGACACYACCACCTCCTTCACTGCAGATCTCTCCATCTAAGCCAGTTAGGTAAGACCAAGTCACCTGTGTAAAAACATTTGTTCAGTAGAAATCACATTTTTATTTTAGAAGATGTGCCTTTTTTCTGCCATTTTTATTCATTTTAAAACTTTTCGAAATCCTCTTTGTTCCTTTTGTTTGTGTCTACCGTCTTTGCTTCAACGTGTAACGCCTGCAGTCATCCTCCCTTACTGAACGGCCGTAAATGCAGCCCATCGCTGCCCATTCCTGTCCCAACTCAGATCCAAAACTACCAGCGTATGGAGCAGAACCTGCAGCCCGTTTCATACGGCTCCACCAGGCACGTTCAGCCTCCTTTGAATGTTGATTTTAYCTTTTACTATTTTCCCCTGCTGTCTTGTTTTAACCATGTCTTGTKCCACTCAGGGCTGGCAGCAGCAATGCAACCCCCGTGCAGAGTGGAGGGTGTGCATTACCGGGTCCAGGTGTTGATTTTACCTTCCCAATGCTGGAAAAAGAAAGAAGCCAACCACAACCAGCCTCCCCATGTGGTAGATGGCTCGCTCTTTTTTTTTTAAATTTTTATTTAGTTTTCTGGCAAATAACGATCTCCTCGTAGACAAGCCTCAGAGTAGCAGCTTATATGTTTAGACAAAAAAACATGTTCAGGCCCAGACCTCCCTTACAAAAGAGATCTGTGTTCTCAGTGGGATTTGTCTGCTTAAATAAAGGAAAATAAAAATAATGTTGTCTGAATTCAAATACACACTGTTTATTGATTGATAACAAGACAGCACATGTCGCAGCTTTTGTACAAAATGTATTGTCTTTTCATGGACAAATTCTTCCTGCTGTGATTATTAGTAAAATACGAAGGGTTAAAAAGTTTAATTATTCAAAAATTGATCGAGGATAGAGACTAGCTCACTGGAACCTTCACATATACACACTGCAGCTCTAATTTATCTACATCACTCACATTACACTACAGAGACAGTGTCACTAACAACCTCATGGACAATTTCAACATTTTACATTACAGACTATAATATTTGTCTATGCCAGGGCAATCCTTTTAAAACAACAGTTTTATGTACCTAGATTGGGGCCACCAATAAACGGTGTGCATTTTAAATATAAAACTTAAATTTTAGCTTCTGTATGAGTAGATCTGCWACAAAAAGCATTTCACTGCAAGTCGCGTTTTAATAATTGATTTGATTTGAGAAATTTACATAATAAATTTCAGTTGGGTTTCTTTTTTTATTATTCAAAGGTGTTTTTCTGTTAAGCAAAGCTGTTTTTTACAGTGTTTCTAACCCTCAAACAAAACTATTAACAAGTTTGGGAGGTAATAAATGKGTCACCATATAAAGTGGATTCACTAAGTTTGTGATTTCCCCTGTACTCTCTGACGCATCAACATTTCACACCTACCACACAGGAACAATAAAAGGAACAATAAAACAAAAACAGATCATCTAATAAAATTATATGCAGATAAGAATCTAATTTATGTAATCCTCTCTGCCTTAGCCGGATTGACTCCAAAGACGTCAGAGCAGACTTCCCCGCTCAGCACACGAACTGGACTGCTCCCTGGCTCTCCTGATTCCCAGGTCATCTCCAGCCACAAGGTCAGCTTCTAAATCTCTTTTTTTTTCATACAGCAGTAGTAACGGAGCCTCGGCACACAGCTGTGAGGGAGAAAAAGTACAAAAAAATTTACAGAATATTATATTTTTAGCAGCACGTCCCACCTAGAAAGCCAAATCGAAGCAGGACAGTCCAAAACCTGCAGGCCCTTGACCAATCTCCTGCCTCCCAGACCAACCTCAGCAGGAAGTCTGCCACTAAGAAGGGCCCCTTTAAAAGGTAAGAGCTCAATATGAATCTACTAAAATAAAACAAAAACTCTTATAAGATGATCAAATAGAAAATTCCCAAATTATGAGACTCTAGAATGAAATGCACTTTTGTTACAGCGATGTGTTTTTGGTTACTTTAAATGTTCAGATCACTGAGTGCCGGCCGGCTGTCTGACATGCTGCTGAAAGCTGCCTTTGGAGCCAACGTGTTAGAGGAAGAAAGTGATGAGAGCTGCAGCTGTGAGAGAAGCATGGACACAACAGGTAACGTGAAAAATAATATAAGTTGGATTTTAAGTAGATATTTTGAAGAATGTGATGAAATCGCCAGGTCTGGTTTATCTAATGTAACTCTTCCTTTCTGTCTCTGCAGCTCCACCTACTGGGAACCAAAAGGTGTTTCAGTTCCCAGACAGCTCACCTCCTGCAGTCTTTGCCATGGGTTCCCCACCCAATGAGAACACTCCTCCTGACGAGGCGGTGTCAAAGATGTTGTCAGGTAGATGATTATACATGCGCTGATAGATGACTCACTCTTTTATTTAGCGTGTTCTGTATTTTACACAGAACCATATGAAGGAAACATAGTCTCGTTAGAATCACCTTTTTTTTTWATTGAATTTATAACATTGAGTTTTTATCCCTTGTGATTATGTATGTGAATTTTTACAGAACAACTGTAGAAACAGCTTTCAACTGCGAAAATGTTCCTGCAACTGCGCTGACTCAGACCAAAGCAATCAGCAGTAGATCAAGTCGAGCGGCTTTCAGTCAGTCAAATTCCACTCATTTGATCACGTGACACACCAGTGGGTTGGGCAGAGGTGACCACCGTAACCATCGGTTAGTGACTGAATGAAGATGAGTGAGGTTTTTCTGTTTAACAGATTATTACAAAACGTCAGCTAGTTGACAGCTAATTTAATTTGTTTTTTCTTTTTTATCTAATCAAACTGAGAATGTGTGGCTGACCTGATGACACCTAGTGTGCCACCCTTGTCTTACTGTAGCAAGCTGCCCAACACACTGGTGTGTGACGTGATCTTGGACTGTCGGGATAAGCAATTAATGAATTAACCACACAATAAATTAAAACAAGGTTGATCATTTTCATTTGCCTGCTTGTTTGTTTTCTTCGTGTCTCCACCGTTTCTATTCCTTAGCTCAGAGAGGAATGAACTCTCATATCAGGCATTAGCCAGGCCCATGTTTCCATAAACTCTGTAGCATGACRCCTTCTTTCCAGGATGCCCTCGAGGCACCGTGCCAAATGTTAGTGAACGTAATAATTTTCTGAAGCCCGAGGAAGATGCATAAAGAATAAATTGCGACAGCTTGGCTAGAGGAGATGGGTAGTGATGTTACAGCTTCAGTAGCTGTTATGTGCTGTTTTCACAAACTCCACAACCGGTAAGTCTGAAACTTTACGGAAATTTCATAAACTTCTATAAATTTCATAAGTGAGGGAGACCACATTTATTTTATGAATCCAGAGGAAAACACGTACAGAGTAAATTGTGCCAACTTGGATAGAGGAAGTGGGAAGTGATTTTACAGCTTCAGCTGTCCAGATTAGTGCGTACCTTTTTTTATGTAACAAAATTTCATAAAATTCCGCAAGCTTTGTAAGTATATGTACTATAATTTCCCTTCATGGGATCAAAAAAGTGTCATTCATATATATAAGCTTAAAATTGTCTCTAGATGATATTACAGTTTATAGCAATAATTTCTGAGACAATTTATCATCCAGCGTAGTTTTTTATCGTGACAGGCCTAACGCGATCAAATAAGCGTAATTTGTTTCGCTAAAAGCCGTTCAACTCAGTTTGGTGCAGATTGCCTTGGCTTGAGTCAACAGAAGGTCAACACATTTTCAGACGAATTTCTGCAGGTGGATTTTTACTGGTGATTTTGAAGTAAAAAAAAAAATTTAAAAATCACATAACGCAAAAGATAAAAATTCCATGTTACAAATTCAGAGTCTAAAAAAACTCTGATATGACACTATGTCTTCCATAGAACCATGACCTGCGTAAACTACCTGTCAGTCATCTTACATGACACATTCACTGTGTGAGCTTTTCATGGATGAGCCGAATCAAGTCTTTTCTCTAAAACGCAGGCTCTCCCAGCAGCTACATCAACTCAGCCTGGCTGCTTAACAGTCGCCCTGTCCAGCGAGGAAGCCGGAGGAACAGTGAGACGGAAGCCATGGATGCTATTTCACACTACAGTCTCGTTTTTCACCCTCCAGCGCTGCCCGAAGATACACTGATGGAGGTAGAGACAAATGCAGATGAAAACGAAAGAACATACATTACAACCAGTTTGAGTGTTCATGGAATTCAATGTGCTCCACTCACACAGCAGGCTCACACGGATGCACTGAGCGACTTGCGTTTCACCCTGGCGTTTGTCAGCTGCGTGATGGAGCTGGCTTCTTCAAAGGACCCCGGGCTGGGCGCCATCAGCAGTCCTGACATTTCCTTCTTAGAGCAGAGTTTTGTGACTGATCAGATCAGCCTTCTGAGTAAAGAGTGGAGGTGAGAGGGGGTTTTCCCACATGTGCTGTGGCTTCTTTGATTTATTTTTTAAATTTTATTTGTGATAAATATTTTTTGTGTGTTTTTGTAGTTATGCAGAGCAGTTGGTGTTGTACATAAAAGCTGAGGAGTTTCTGTCATCAGCGCTGCGCACCGCCCAGGAAAATATAAAACAAGGCCAACTCCTGCCTTCTGCTACTGTCAAACAAGGTGAGTCTATTGTACAGCCAACATCAGTTGATGAGACACAGTTAGACATTTATATTTAATAATAATAAAGAAAAGGAAGCGTGTACAGTTTAAAGTGATTTGTTCTTAAGATGGATCCTTGTGGAACTCCACGGCTAAAGGGCTTGACCCTTGCAACTTTAACAAGTGGTAAAATCAACTTTTTATTCTTTCAGTGATCAGGAAGTTGAACAAATTGTACAAGAACTGCGTGACTTATTGTCGGTCCCTGAACGAACGGCTGCAGACCTTCTTGCTGGACAAACAGAAGCTCATCGACCGCTTCAACGGGCTCACGGCAGAGAAGCTCATCTACAGCCACACTGTACATATGGTGAGCTCATGCCACACCGCCGACGCTCACCTCCGATCACATTCTGTCCTCACCGCTGCCCTTTAAACATGTGGGTTCTCTCACTGCGTTTAGGTCCAGTCTGCTGCGTTAGATGAGATGTTCCACTATGGTGCAGCAACAGTTCAGCGCTACAATAAAGCCCTTCTGCTGATGGAGGGTCTGTCTCGAATCCTCATTGAGCAAAAGGACATCGACACTCTCGATAAATGTATGTGGAAACATTAACTTACAAAATAGAAGCTAAAATACTTGAATTTGACACAATATGAGTGTGCTTTTCGTGTAATCGGAAATGTTTATTTGTATTTGAAGGTAAGAAGCGTCTTGAGCGACGCCTCTCAGCGTTGCAGACATGACCGTGTCTGAGAAATGTCCAACAGCACATTACCTTCCCTTGTCCATCATTGCTGAATATAGATGGATCCTGCCATACATGAGCACTTTGTTCTGGGAGAAATGACCACAAGAGCATCCACCATTATCCTACAAACTAATCTGTAACTGAGCTCAAACAGACAGAAACAAATGACCTTTGTGTTTAAACAATGTTGAGCACAGATTGTGTTGTTGATATGGGATTAATTTAAAAACTTTGATCAGATGAACTGTTTTTATTTGGGTACAGATTGTTTGTTTTAGGGTTAGGGTTATGGAGTGAGTCCYGTTTCAGAAAGAAAGAGAGCACAGCAAGATTTGCACACACAAGCGTATGGATCTGCTCACCTGAGAATTTGACTTTTGAGACTTAATGCTGCATTCAAGACTGGAGAAAAGCTGGGAAATCTGAACTTTACCACATTTACTGGGTTATTGGGAAAACTATATTTCTGACTTATAGCTCATAAACACTACATTATACACACACACATACACTTACATTACTGGTTTCCAGAAATGTTACATTTTGTGGACTGTACAGCTGAAACAAACAACCAAAAACGAGTGGAAAAATACATTTGCTTCGTAGTTTTTCCACAGAAAGAATAACCTCCCCATTTAGAGAGATTTATTTCAGCTGTACAGTCAGATTTTTTTTATCTAGTGGAGAAACTACTAGAAATTTATTTTATTTTTTCAAATGTACAGTTCAAACAAAAACATACATGATATTATGAGGTTATTTTAAGGTTAACTTATTAAGTTACTCTTCTACAAAAACTACAGGAAACATATTTACCAGTGTTCCGCTGCAAAAAGTACCAATAAATATAAAAAATCTAATTATCTGTATTTTTGGTGAGGACTATAGGCTACATTTAAAGGCACAGTGTGTAGGATTTTGTCAATTCTTTTAGCCGAAATTGAGATAATCACTAATGACAACAATAAAAAACATGTCTAATCATTGCAGACAAAGACCGACCTTGTTTTATTATTTTTACCTTATAAAAAGCTGTTTATATCTCCATGGTCGCGGGTCACC